AGGCGTTCCGACAGCCTGCGGTCGTTACGTTGCTATTTTCAGGATTGAGGAAATGGGGTGTAATGAGTAGGCACTGGTCTCAGGAGGAATATTAAAAGATATTTTAGTTGGGCAGGGGAGTAGTTATGGAATAGAGAAAAGTCTCATATCAGAAAACCCTTTCAGTGGCTGAAAACTGGGTAGAAATTGGAAATTGTCTGAAAAGCAGCATTTGTTTCAGAGCCAGTTGTACATGTGAGTCACAACCAGCTCCAGAAAGCAAGCATTCAGCGAGAGTTTTAATAAACTCTTACAATAAATCTTTAATGAAAGCTGAGCAGCTTTGGAGACAGCTTTGGATTTTGCATACAGAGAATACAAGTACACAGCTTGGAAGAAAGACCATTTTCAGTAATACGTGAATCTTTTAACCTGTGATTAAGGGGAAAGCAGTAAAGTACTGGGGAGAAATTCCTTGGCTGGGAATACGAGATCCTCCGTCACTCACCTAAGTCATCTGTAAAGTGGGCAGGTCATGGGAATGCGTACCAGAATCTTCAGGAAGTAGTGAGAGTTCTGGAATAATTTACTAATGCTTTATTGTGGGAAGACAGAAACTTTACGATGTATTGGAGCTAACAAAGGTCTCCCTTTTCTTTCATTCTGCTGGATGGCTTGCCAGATAGACCATCTGAGGCTCGAAGCCTCCCCTAAAAGCAGCTATTCGCATGCGGTTGAGAGATTTCCGCTCATCTTTGTTGCCTGTAGGGAGTGAAAGATTGGCGAGAAATGGTTGCTGTGATTAGTAAACTGTTTTATTATCAACATTTGGGAATTCAGGAAAAAGGTAGCTGTGACTCACTTGTAAAGGAACTGAGTAAACTCATGCTGCTAATAATTCAGCTTTGTTATAGGGACAGAAACATTTATTTACTCATTCCCATGACTAAATTTATTTGCTCGTATCTGAGGAAGTTATAAATCCATAACTGCATATGGCTTGCAACTTTTGATCCATACAATCTCATGGCAAAAGTTCTGGTTTTGTCATCCACTCTCTGAATTCCTCAAATCTCTGCCTGAATTTCTTCGCTTTATGTAAAATGTCAGTTGTTCTCTGCCTGCCCACTCTGTCATATTTAGGTATTTATTTAAAGTATGAATACCTATGAACCAGCTCTGTATCTGCTTATGTCTTTATCCTATTCCTGGAAAAGTGGGCGTCCCAGTTTCAGGCATGGCTTCTGGATGATACTGCTGGGTTATAGGTAGCACATAATAGAACAGCCATAGGACAGTCAGCAAATAGTCTGGATTTTCTGCTGACTAAACATTTATGCTCTCGTCTTCGTTAACGATGAGGAGGAAAAAGGTACATTTTTTCCCCTATGGCAAATTGACAACTATTTCTGGTTTTTGGAAGGAAAAACTGGGCAAGGTTGGATTCGTTGGAAACTTCACTATATACTTCTCTTTGCTGTCTTTTCATCTGTGTGCTTTCTCAGTCCCCGCTAAGAGTCTAATCTGGACAAAATGTTAGGAAATGTAACTTCTACCAACTACTTAGCTCAGTGCAGAGGTCATTATTGTGCTTAACAGTTATGACAGAAAACTGGCCGGTATTCTAGATTTCTGTCCAAATTACACTCCAGGTGATGCTGAACGGTATCTCACTTCAGCCATCTATCAATTAGAGTAACACCTCTGTCACAGTGTTGAGTTTAATTAACTAATAATTATAAAGCAATATGAGATTGCTTGCTATTATTACAGCAACGGAAGAATTCAGCCACAGTAAGTTGATTTATTTTCTTGGACTTATTTTTAATTTATCTTTTCCTGTTTCAACCACACACAAGAGATAGTGCCTTTGATGGGGAGGGGAAGTCTCTTCTTCCTGTCTGCCCTCTTATAGAAACCTGACCTGTCTCGTTAAAAATAGGGTGCCCTTAAAGAGATGGACCACTTAGATGATAATTCTTTATAAGCACTATTTAGCACAAGTTTCATCATGCTGTTTCCTCAAGAAAAGAAGTGCTATCTCAGTCGAAAAAAGATGTCTAAGGGTACTAATCATGCAGACAAAAGTACAAATGGGCCAGATATCTTAAAGCAAGGAGTGAGATAATGACTTCTTTGGCAGCCGGTGTTTAGTATATGCTGCATCTTTCCTTTCCAATTCATCTTTGAGCTTCTCTTGTATTTAGAGAACTTTTTTCCTTTTCTGTGTTCGCTGCAGAAGAAAGAAGTAGTCTTACACATGCTGCCGGGGCGTCCTGCTGTCAGTGTGTTTTCTAGGCTCGGCAGCATCTCTCAAGGCTAATCAGTGACGGCTTTCTCCGGGGAGCCTCTCCATAGCTGAGCCTGGGAGAATGGCTCAGCATCCACGCAGCCAATTTCTCCAAATTTCACACTGAGCATCTCCAGAAAGAATTTAAACATACAGGATTAGTCTGAAGACAGCACGTCTTCAGACAATTAAGCCATTTTGTTCAAGGAATTTTAATGAAAAACTTCCTAGTGTATATATCTGGGAAGCTGTAGAACATGTAGAGTTCTGCTCCTCACGTACGCCAAACTACAGGATAAAAATAAAAATCAGAACGTGGATTTTTGAAGTAATAGCTTATGTGCCAAACCTAGCAGTGCTAGTCACAAGTGCCACGCTCAAGATGACCAAAAAAACCCCAAAAACAAAACTAAAAAGCCCAGCCCAAATATAGGATGAGAGGGCAATTTGCATTGAAAGCTCTCACTTCATCCTTCACTTTATGGTTCTCAGTCCCTTTGGGATTGTAAATATTTAATTAAAATAAGTTATTTAATCTTGATGTTATTGTTATTCCTCAGAAGTATCTCAAGACCACTTTCAGTGTGCTAAATTTTAATATTGGGTGGGTTGTTTTTTTCATTTGTTGAAAAATGAAACGGTTTCCAGCTGAGAGACCCTCAAAGGGCAAACTCAGAGTAAATGAGAGTGGAGACAATTTCTCTGGATGGAAAGCTATCATTTCCCCAATTGCAAAGCCCTGTCAGCTTTATACAGGGATTGTGGAAAACTACAAAAGAAATGTTCAGCAAGAAAGACATTTATTTCTGTTCTGTTCTTTTAAAACACGGTGTATTTTTTCTGGTACAATTATTTGAGTAATATAGCTAGTGACTAGAATTACATTTTATTTTAAAATTTTAGCCCGTAAGCATTTTCAACCTCTCATTTTAGAACAGAAATTTAAGAAAAAGAACTTAATCAGTATCAACTGTTGGTTCAGGTTGACACAATTCCCTTCCAGCCATGATCTAATCTCAATAATTAATTTACATCAGGTTATCTGTTCTGCATGAAAATTATCTTGACAAATAAACTAGTGTATTCCAAATAAGTAGCTTGCATTCCTGTACTCTACCTTCTTTCTACAGTTAGTTTGGATTTAAGGTACCAGTTATATGTGCTATTTCCCTCTTTCAACTTGTTCTACCACACCTAATACTCTATCATTAAATAGAGCAGGTCAAACTGTTTGAAATTATGTGTTTTCTGTGGCAGTAGCTCTTTTTTTCCCCAAGAATTTTCCCTCTGCAGCTTGAATCAAACGACACAACAGCTGAGTAGTAGATTTGCACTAAATCACTGCTTGGCAGTTATGCCATTTGGAAGAACACAGTCGTTATCAGCACTAAAGCACCCTCTCCGTCCTGTAAAAGGAAAGTGTCAGCCTAGAGCTAGTTCCATCGCTTGTGGCTGTACCTGGTGTGTCCGAGATGGAACAGAACCCTTTCAGGGCTTTGTAAATCACCTTCAGTGCTATGTTATAACGGGGGTGTTGTCAACACCACAATCTTTCTTTTCACTGGCCTTAAGTAAAGCACAATAACGCCTGTCTTGGGCTTTACATTCATTGTCCGTCTTTCTCTGTCGTATGGCAGCAGTAGCGCGTGGTTGTCAGTCCACCACAGCCCTGCCTTTCTTCCTAAAGGGAGAGCAAAGGACATTTTGAAAAGATGTACTTCAGCTGGTTTACAAGTCATTTGACTGTTGCCCAAAAACTGTCCTCTTCTATAAATAATGAGAGTGAACAACACGTGATAAAATATCCATGTTACTTGGATGCCTTTCAGCCTCCATGCTGGGAAATAACAGGCTGAAATCCTGGGAAGGTCTGTAATTGAGTTCTTAAGCGACTCTAAAGTTCTGATTTTTGCAGGAAACGTTTTTCATCAAGAAATATTAGGTGACTATAGGGTTATCTTTCCTAAATTTCCTTTCAGATTTCTTCAGTTAGGTAGATAAATTAAAAAAGCTCTTCTGATGTGACACTGTGAAGGCAGTAGCTGAGGGCACCGTCAGTCCGGGATAGTATCTCTCTCTCCTTGGGGATTGGTAGCAACATGAGATACATTAACTCATTTTATGCCATCTTTTGACATTGTAAAAATAGAAGCTGCATTAACATTTTTGTGAAACGACAAGTTAAACTTGTCTTCTCTGCGCTTTTACTTTGGTTGCTGTCATGACATAAGGCTTTCAGGGATTCTGTCTGACAGCTAATGAACCATGAATCCAAGGGAAGTTTAGTGGTAGATACCTTCTAGTGATGGATTGTATCAAATAACCTATCTTCTGAGATCCATTGTGGTCTGGCTATTGCCCCTGTAGTATTTGGCTGATAGTCTTGTGGTGGTATAACCTGAGACTGACGAGGACATAAAAGCACAAAGAATTGCTACCTGCTTAAAAATTTATAGTGATAGATTTGGACATTTAATCATTCCATTGCAGGAAAAGAGCTGCCTGGAAGCTGCGTGTCATTCCTCAATTGCTTTTCTCTCCTGTCGTTTCTCACTACCATTCTTACAAATATCGCTAAGTGCAAACTTGCTTTACAACTAGTTTCTTCTATGCCAAGCCTGACAACTGGGTTTCACATCTTATTTGTTTTATTTTTCAACATGTTTCAATAACTCTGGTTTGACATGTTATTGCTTACTTAAATGGTGATTTGGAATCGTATACAAATTAGCTATGTTTTATATTGATAGTGCGAGAAGCAAAAAACCTAATTCCCATGGATCCAAATGGACTTTCAGATCCTTATGTTAAACTGAAGCTCATCCCAGATCCTAAGAATGAAAGCAAACAAAAAACAAAAACCATCCGTTCTACTCTGAATCCACACTGGAATGAGTCGTTCACGTTGTAAGTTTAACGCCTTTTAGTGGAGTATCTTTGTATGTATTGAATTATTTATTTCAGTGTTGCACTGAAAACTCTTCTATGTCTCTCCTTTTTAGTAAATTAAAACCTACAGACAAAGATCGACGGTTATCTGTCGAGGTCTGGGACTGGGATCGAACAACCAGAAATGATTTCATGGGATCTCTTTCATTTGGTGTGTCAGAGCTTATGAAAATGCCAGCCAGTGGATGGTAAGTTTCTGAGGAGAGAGAAGGAGAGAATATATCACAAAAAGTTTAAAACCAACATTTTTCTTCAATATAATCTACCTTTTTTGGAGCTTTTCACTGCATCTTGTGCTATAAATTCACTGAAAATGCAGCTAAACCTAGGAAACATAAGCTACATATAACAAAGAAAGATAATAAAAGGAATGTTTTTCTTTTGTGATGTTCATGAAACCTGCTGGAGCCAGGAGCTGCTGCAAACTCAACTCTGTGAACATAGTCTTGTGATTTGAATTTTATTTTTATCTCAAATATGATATATTCATTACTAAGCGTATCATGTTATATATAGCTCTGCAAATTCAGAGTACATGGGAACTGATTTTGTAAAATGCCATCTTATTACCTACCAAGCTAGGGGTAGAACTCATCACATCTTCTCAAACAGTACATCTCATCAAAGATGATCGTTTAGGGCTATAGAAGTGCTGGAGACAAAGGTTCTTCAGGGTTGGTATCTCCCATCATATCACAGGATGGGTGGGAAGAATGCCCTTGCCCATTGAATTGCCTTTGCACATGGGTTGGGATTAAAGATCTACTTTTAGGTTAAATATATTCTGTTTCTGAGTTTGCTTTAGATCTTTGAAAGCAGTTTTTTGCATACCTGTGACATTGATACAAACCACACACAAACAACTAAATCATATTTTAAATCTAACAGGAATGTAACTGGAAAGTCACCATTTCTTCTCAAATATTCCACAGGTACAAGCTGCTGAATCAAGAAGAGGGTGAATATTACAATGTTCCAATTCCAGATGCTGATGAAGATGGAAATGCAGAGCTCCGACAGAAGTTTGAGGTGAGGATTAAACACAAATGGGTGCAACTATATATGGCATACATTTTTCACTTTATCACAAAAATTGCCTGTTAAAAAGTTATATATTAGAGTGCTGCTATTTCTGTTGCCTGTGACAGTAATATGTACCTTTGGGTTTCTTGAAGATTGGTCCAAGTGATTTAATTCAGTAGTTGTATCATTTTTCTGACGGTTCAGTTTCTCTACTATGACACTTATAAGTTGGTATTGCAAAATATTTTATGTCAAGTATATGTAATAATTTCAGTGTCCTTTAATACTTGCTGCAAAATCTGCCAGCCATTATCACTAGTATCTATAATATTTGACAAAGGAAGTTCTTGGAAACAACAGTATTCTAATACTTAGAAAGTTTCACACTAAATGCGTTGTGTGCTTTTTTTAAGAAAATACTTAGTGTTAATTACTGACTATTTGGAGCCTCAAAATCTTTGTAGAAGGTTATCTTCTGAAATCGTGATATCTTTAACGTGGGTTTGGAAGTTTTTAAGGATGAGAGGTATTGCTGGTTATGTACAGAAAAGAAGCACTGAAGAAAAGCGGTATTTTCTGCAGTCTTCCTGCCTTCTCTGGTGCAGATTGAAGTGGTTGGTAGTCACAAGCATGGTCTCACCGTGCCATGCAAAGGAGTTGTTTCTTAATGAACAGACTTAGCCAGCAACTCTGCCTCTTCTGACAACTGCAGCCGGTATTACAGCAAAATACTGGCTGGTCGTTAAACCCAGCAACAGGAAAGCTATGGTTTGGGGAGGGAGGTGTTCTGCTAATGGCTGTACTGGATTTGGCTCATCTGGCTTGACTACTCTTTCCAGCTGCATATGCAACATTGAATTTGAAGTATTCCAATCTACAATATTGTTTTCTTTTTTCTGGTGAAACATTTACAAGTTTAGTCTGGCTGTTTAACCAAAAAAGTAATTAATGTACCTGTTGTGCATAAACAAACACGCCTGTTCCTTTCAACCTGAAATGGCAATTTTTTATGTTCACCATCAGGCAGAATTCTACATTGTTATTATAAAAGATGGGTTAACCCAAGAAAGTGAGGAAAAACGACATATGTTCAACTTTCAAGAAAGACAAAGAAAAGGTGCATCATTTTCTTCTGAACACATTTGGATCAGCTACCATACTTTTGTCTGCAGCATGTACTGTGATTTTTGTTATACATTTGAGAAGTATTTGAATCTCCATTTCATTTTCCTTTCTTTACAATTGTGATCTGACCAGTGTGATTTTATTTTGCTGCACTAGGTCATCTTCTATTCCAGATCATATTTACTTTTTATCCTCCCTAGAAAGAATAGCATCAAAAGCAATTCTTTTTACCCCTTACATGTCTCTGTGCAATATACAGAGTCTGGAATCAGGTGGATATGTATATGTTGGTGATATAGGTATAGAAATCTACCTGTGGGGTTTTTTTTTTCCCCTCAGGACAGAGACAGCACAAAGACAAGTCACCAAAATTATCTATTTTAAAATGTCAGTTATTATATGCAGTACGTTTGCATACTGAGTTCACAATCTCTTAGGTTTTTTCCTTAAGCCCACTCTAAATACATTGGGCAGAATGAACAGTCGGGGTTTAACTGTGTCCTGCACTGAGGTGGAGTAGAAATCCTGAGAGGTTGCATTGTGTAAAGCTACTGGACTGGGTCCCAGAAACAGCAGCTTCACATAGGGTCAGCTCTGCCTCAGAAATAATTAGTCTGTCTCAAAGTCTAATTAGTTCAGCTTCAACACTGTGTGTGTGAGGCTTTCCCTGTTCTGGAGGTAGCCTGCTTGATGCTATTTTAGTGGTCTGAATTACTCAAGGAAAGGGAATAGGTTTTCAGTGAACACAGTGTCTCCAGGAATATCGTTTACAGAGTTGCATAGTGAACAGTTTTAAAACTTAGTGATGATACATGGGAATATTGGTAGCCGAACAAAATGTGTAATTGTACCTAGACCGAGGCTGGTATTGCATGGTAAAAGGATTTAGGTTCAACCTCTTACTGTCTCTCAAGTTTACCACTGTGAGAAGGAACAGAGGGAAGCAGCACACTCCGAGTAATGATCTTACTTGATTTCAAGGGGAATTACCGTGACGACGTATAAAAATTAACAGCACAGATGTCTGGATGGTGGTATTTAACTTATTAGCTATTCTGGTATGGCACATAAGTGGTGCTGACTCTGATCATCTTTTACGTTATTTTTTCTTATCATTCATATCTTGGCTTACATAGTCATTTTATTTTAGGTACCCTATTCTAAGGAACAAGTAGCTAGCAATGAGAAATATGCTGCTATGTGTCATTTAATGACATCATCTAAATAAATATTTCCACTGTTCTGAAATCAGCTTTGAAATCTTACAGGAAGAAGATTGCAGATCTTGACTGCCATTTTACTAGAGAGAGTATTTGTCAGGAAGATAAGAACATAGGTGGACTGAGAGGTCATACTGGGCTATCTTCTTGTTTATCAGTTCATAGAAAAGAGTAACTTCAGAGTGCTTGCTAATCAAGTCTACATTAGTGGTGCTTGGTCTACTTTTTGGTATATGACAGTGTGATTGATATCCAATTTTGAGTACAAAATTACAACAGTTTCTACAAAAGTATTGCATTACTAGTATCAAGCACTTAAAATGAATAATGGTGGTCTTCAGAGTAAAGAGCTGTATACAAACCTAAGCTACGCCAAGAATAGAAAAACCTTAGGATGAGAATTTCATTGCTTAATATTAAGAAAGAATAACAATATTTTGAGGCTCAAGATCAGAGAACCGGTAGATGTGGAATTTCCAAAACCAGTTTCTGGCCTTTGAAAAAAAAAAAATCCAAGACATTCTTAAGCTGACTTTGCCCTTTTGATTAAAGTTTAGAAATGTGCCTTGTAGAATATCCAAGAGCACTTGGGAGCTACCTCCCATGTAAATCAATGAGGATTTAAAAAATCCCTGCCTGCATCTGTAGTTTGACAGACATGTTTAAGGTTTGGCCTCAAGTTCTCACTGATATCAAACTGTTTACACAATCCTATCACATCCTTCTAGTTCCACTTAACAACCCAGACTTTCATTTAAATGTGGTTATTAGTCACACAAATCTCATTGGTATGCTGCTTTACTCGCTGCACCTTCTGACACAGATTCTTTAAGTCATTTGTTCAATGCAAATAATACAATAATATTATTATAATATTTTATATTTTGGCATATATGATTTATATTATAATTATAATGAAGTTATAATATAATATAAAGTACCATAAAATAGCTGTATGAGATTGTAAATAACTAAATAAATAATCGATTCAGACATTCTCTTCACTTACATTTGTAATTGAACAGTAAAAACTATTTGCCACAAAAAGGAGCTTCCTCATAGCCCATTCTGCCAGATGTAAACGAGTTGAAAAATTAACGCCTGACTTGTCCCCAGTAGTTTCAGATCCTGTCCCACAACTGGAAAAGAAAGAGAAGAGCTGAGGAGGACAGTGGTTTCATTGATGGTATCATGCAGTGAGCTCGCCAAGGTTGTTTTAGACACTGTCTATGTATCATCTATATGAAGTTGTACGGCATATAGAAATTGAGGCATATTATGCATAGGTGCAGTGCAGTATTTTAATCAATCTGCATATTTTCTGGATTTCACCTATCACTTACGAATCAATTATCTGTTCATTTAGCAATGTGATCAAATCTGTCTTCAGTGATTTCTAGATGATACATCGTTATTAATATTTCGAGATAAAAATACACTCCTGTAGGAAGTGGAGGCAGGATAAAATCTGTCACTGTTTTTCATTTGGTTTGAACCTTTGGTTGTGAATTTTTTCTCCGGAATGGCATAATTTGTGGCCATCTCAGAAGGAAACCCCGTTCTCAACGGCATATTCAGGATGACCGTAGCTACTCCGGCATCATCCGTGCTGAGGTTGCCATGGGAGCTCCCATCAGTCGCAGCTGGCTCCATGGGCTCCAACTAGCCGGTCTTTTAACTGCAACATCTACTATTTGTTATGTACTTATTTTCCTGTTACAGTATTTTGGTAGTCAAAGAAAAAAGCAGAATATTGAAATAATGCAGCCTTATTGTATTTTTAATACCTGGTTATGATTTGAGCAGTAATATAGGTTTGCCATTTATGGCATTGTTCTGATTTTTTCATTTGGGGAAAAGAAATGTGCAAATTCTAGAACTTCTATTGTGGGAAGTTATTTCAGTTTTATTGAGCCCTGTTTCGTGTAATTTGCTGCTTAGTAAAGCTCTTCTTGAAACTTAAGTATCACCTTAGAATAAAAATAGAATAATACCGGTTTAAAAGTAGGCTGGTTAATTATTCTGTCTGTCCCCTTCTTTCCACATCACCACCGTGGAAAATGTTATTAAAAATAAAGCAGCTGTTATGGTCCATATCAATTTTTTTTTTAATAAAAAAAGAAGCTATAAGTAGCTATAATCCTTACACGTGGATACAGTTACCGGGTACAAGGTGTATTAAGAGCGATCTGAGTCACTACAGTCAGCTTTGGTAATCGGTGATCCAAGCAAGCTGCTACGAGGGAATAGGTTACTGCTCATGTAAACTTCATTTTAAGGCATCTGTGGGGAAGATAGGCAACGGTCCTCCTGGCCCGCACTCTGATGATGTCAGCCATTTTCTTCTGTTCTAATTGTTTCCCTCAGTGTAGCCCTCCGTGTGGGTTTCAGTAACACACAGTCGTTCCCTTAGTTTCTGAGAGAGAGCTCAGGCTGCCGTCCCCACCGCGGGCCACCCTCCGGGACCGTTTCGGGGGCC